ATGAAATATGAAAAAAAGTTGTGCAGTTCCCTAACATGTGAAAATGTGCACTTTGGGGGAATTTGTGTATTTTCTGAAGTACAAATATAAATTTAATATATATTTAATAAATATAAATAAATGTGCATGGAAAATCCAGTCCCACCAATGAGTTGATAACAAAATGAAAAGCATGTGTGTTCCACAAAGTCTGTACAACAAACACTGGCTTAGTGTTATATATGAACCAGGCTGGTGCATGTGAAACACTTTGAGCACAGAATGGCATTATACAAATGCTAAATTACTGTTGTGCTTCTTATTATGAACAAAGCTATTTTTCCTGGATCTTGGTGTGCTACAAATGACTTGCACTGTTATGCCAGGCAGGTGGGTTAGTAAAAAGCTTGTGACTAGTGACTGTTTGGACTTTCTGATTTTTTTGTATGACTCTTCCTGCCATCTGGGTATCAAGGATAGGCTTGTTATTTTCTTTCTGTTTGCCTTTGCCCAACAGGAATTACCCTTTGAAGCTCTGGAAAACCTTCTGTTAGATTTGGGGACTGACTTCAAAAGGAGATGTGATGATCATTTCCACTCTTCCTTCTAAATTATCATGGGTCAGCTAATTATTCTTGTAGATGGCAATGTAGCTACTCTAAATGAAGCCAAGGCACTGTTCTCCAGCATAAGGATTAGTCCATTCATAGTTCTTCCTCTCTCCCCCGCAACCCTCTCTTCTCACTGATCTGGATGGAGGCTTTTTGGCTTTCGGAGAATGTTGCAAACCATGGAGATAACAGATGGTTCAGCATCTTTCCTTCGTAGCCTCTTTCAAGTGCCAGCCAAGGCCCATTCTGAAAGGAGGGGCAGGGATCACTCTGGGCAGCTTCTGCTGCCGATTCAGTGTGGCCTCCACCTGGCTGCAGCATGCTTTCCCTGAAGTGTAAATGGATGCAGCCTAGTCCTCGAGAGGCCAAGTTACCGGGCACCAACCTTGCATTTGAATTAGGTCTGCAGAACTGGGAGGACTTCTTCCCAAGCACTTGGTTCAGACATCATCTCATTGGCTTCTCCAGGCAGCAGGATGCAGAGAAGAGGCAACCGGAGCCTTTCTTTGTTTGGTAGCACAGCTGCAAGGGGAGGTCCATTCATCTCCTCCATTCTTTTCTAGGCAGTCAGTGAAGGACGGATGACTTGAGGCACAGATGCAGCAAGGTGTCCTCATGCTATGCATGTGAATGACCTTTGTTTGCAATTTATTTATTTATTGTTTTGATTTGTATCCTGCCTTTTTCCTACAAAGGGCTCAAGACAGCTTACATCTCCTCCTCCATCTTATCCCCACAACAACAACCCTGTGAGGTAGGTTGGGCTGAGAGTCTGTGACTGGCCCAAAGTCACCCAGTTGGCTCCATGGCTGAGCGGGGACTAGAACCCAGATCGTCTGAGTCCCAGTCCCATGCTCTTAACCACTACTCCACACTGGCTCTCCAGTTTGACATCGAGCTCAAACCGCACGAGGAAGTGATCTGACCATGACAGGGGAGTCAAACATAAATTGCTCACCCTCAGATCACCCTCTTTCTGCCCCGTCGAGAAAACCAGGTCCAGCGTGTGTCCACGTTCATGGGTCGGGCCTATGACATGTTGAGACAGCCCCATGGCCATCATGGAGGCCATAAAGTCCTGAGCTGCCCCAGTCAGAACAGTCTCGGCATGGAGATTGAAGTCCCCCAGGACCAACATCCTGGGGGTCTTCAACACCAGGTCCGAGACGATCTCCGTCAGCTCAGGCAGGGCGTCTGATGGGCAGAAGGGTGCACGGTACACCAGCAGAATCCCCAGTCTGTCTCGGTCGCCCAACGCCAGATAGAGACACTCTAGACCCGGTCTTGAGAGAACAGGAAGCCCCACAAGGGAGATAGAAGCTCGATAAATTAAAACGACTCCCCTCCCCTCCCCTCCAGACATGACTGGTGCTGAACTAGATACCCGGGTGGGCACAGTTGAGAGAGGGACACATCCCCGCCCTCTCCCGCCCAGGTATCTGTTATGCAAGCTAGGTTGGCCCCCTCATCCACAATTAAGTCACGGATGAGGGATGTTTTGTTGTGGACCAACCTGGTATTAAGCAACAGCACTGTCAGGCCTGAGGGGCAGTTGATAAGCATATCTGGAACCTTCCGGCTGGGGGAATAACCAGAAGGAGGAACAGGTGTCAACCATCTGTCCCTCCTTCTATGTCGACACATTAAACCCCCAACGCCATAGCAACCATTGCCCAAAACCACCCCAGTGGTGGTGCCCACGCGCTCCCCAGGCAACCTCATGGTAGCAGCCAGGTGTGAATCCATTAAAACAATCTAAATTAAAATCCAAGTTAAAATACAATAAAAGCAATAAAACCCCCCAACCACCCAATTACAAAGACCCACTCGCACAAAGTCTATAGCCAGCCCAGCCGCCGCACGGCTCCAAACGGCGTCAATGCTCTTAGGCCGTTGCCCTTTGGCTGCCGGCCCTTCAGCTGCTGGCCCCGGCCGGTGAGTTAAGCTGGTGGCCCCTCCCCGCGCCCCACCCCCAATCCGGTGCAGCTGCCACCCACGCCGGCAGGCGAGGGGGACAAGGGCGGCCGCAGAGAAACTCGCCGGCAACGATGGAGGGCCTGCAGGTCCCGGTCCCACGGTGGCTGCCGTCTGTCCATCGGGCAGCGTCGGCGTCAGCGGGCAGGTTGGGTTGGCTTCGGCGTCTGCGGGCAGCGGCAGCGGTGGAAAGTGGCCCAGTCCGGTCCAATTTTAGCATTTCGTTGATGAATTTTACCATGTTTTGAGGATGTTGCAAAGCAGCTTTACAGTCAAAAATAGGATTTGTATTAGGAATATCCATATAGTGTGAAGTCACATTGGGCACAAAAATGGATGAGAGGAAACCGGATGGTACACCACGAGATCACATCTCTTTGCAACAAACTAAGTGGCTTCTGACAACATTGTAGCCCTAGATGTGTGCAGCTGTCAGCTGATGGGAAACAACCAAAACGGATCTGTGCTATTTGGCTTGCAGATGAGGACTCTACTCTGTCAGGGTCAACTGCTCAATACTGCACAACTATAGCATTCATTTTTATTGACATTTTGTCCATCTAAGGCAGCGGCTTAGTGTTTAAGAAGGAAATGTGAGATTTTAACCAATGAATAACATGTATTGCTTTAGACTCCTGCAGGGCGAATCAGGGCACATCTCCTGAGAAGTGAGCCCCACTGCATTCAGTGAAAGTGACTCTCTAGGACAGTGATGGCGAACCTATGGCACACACGGCACACGCAGAGCCCTCTCTGTTGGCACGCGAGCCAAGTCACTCCAGCATCGCCCCAGCAGCCATATTCGGAAAGAGTAACGGCGCCAGGAAACAACGTCACTCATTAGCCGTGACTCACAGCAAGAGGCAGCATCGAACAGGTGGCCAGGGGCAGGCGCAACAGCCGCAACGGGTGCACCAGGAAGGGAGCAGGAAGCAGCGAGGGGGCGTGCCGAGCGCTGGCGGTGGCGCCCTCCTCCTGCCTCCTCCTCCTCCCTCCTGGCCCCCAGCATGTGAGCTGTCACCCAGGCCGCCCTCCTAGCACAGTGGCGGGACCCTGCTGACTCGGTAGCTGCAAGGGCAGCCGGGCAGCCGTGCACCTGCCCGCGCCCCCGCTCCCAGGCCGGACTCCCACGCCTGTGGCCACAGGGCAGGGGAGGCGGGGTGAAGGGAGTGAGGACGGGGTCGAGGCGGCGGAGCAGCAGCAGCAGCTGGAGCGAGGAGGAGAGAGAGGGCACCATGGATCGATATGGCGCTTCCTGGGGAGGGAGGCCAAAACGAGGAAAAGTGGAGGCTAGAACTGCTGCGAAGTGAGAGGATTGGGAGGGTGCCGGGGACCCCCCTACTCGACCCCACTCGCCAAGGCTTGGCAGCACCGTGTGGGCGGCTCGAGGAAGATCCCGACGGAAGCGTGGAAGGGATCAGCAATAGCCTCTCCTCACCTTTAGTTTAGGCCTCTCTCCCCACCATTCCGCCCCTCTGGTAAACTTTCAAGTGCCGCTGAAGCTCCTGCAGCATTCCCGGTGGCTGGTTTGAGGGTGAGGAGGGAGGAAGGGAGGGAGGGCATGTGTGGGTGCGCCCGGGTGCAAGCAAGCCTGGCATCCCCCGACTTGGGGGCGCTGAACGTGAACATGGCTCCTTCTCTCTGTTACTGTGTTTTTCTTTTAAGACAAAAGATGTTAATGTATGAGTTGTTTTTTTCTAAACTAAAACCTCAGTATTCAGGTTTCATTGCAGTGTTGGCACTTTGTGATAAATAAGTGGGTTCTGGGTTGCACTTTGGCACTTGGTCTCTAAAAGGTTCGCCATCACTGCTCTACCAGGTGTGTTCAGGACTGCTTTCTAAGACTGCCTCCTTTACAACAACTGACCTTGGCAGTTTGGCTGCCAAATTTGCAATGCAAAAAAGTGAATGCAATAAATCCAGGAGAGTTTATTCTAGGATTCACGAATGTACCCTCTGTGTCTGGAGAGATCACTCTTAACTAATTCTGTTATATCCTATGGAGGCCTAAAACAGCCCCACCCTCTGCTCATGCTGGAAATACAATATACTTTTCTAATGCATGCAAACCTTTCTGTGTTTTGTTTGGAGGCTCTGTTAATTGTGTCCTCTCTGTCGGAAGGATGCTGGGTGGTGAGATGGGACAGATCCTTCTCTGTGTTGATGCCAAAGGGGTGGACTCCTTCCCTGGGGAAGTTTGCCTTACTCCTTCCTTGCAGGCATTTAGGTGCTAAGCAATATCATCCCTTTCACAAAAGACTGTGGGGGTGGTTTTGGTATATTTTTATTAAATATTGCTGTTGCACAGAATTTTAAGTCTGCTTTCAAGCAATGCATTGACTTTATCATGCTTTGTAGCCTCAGAGAGATTTTGAAATGACAAGCCAGTTTGAAATATTTTAATAAGTGATGGAAATATGCCGTTGTCTTTTCCAGTCTATCCGAGAAGTCACAGGCTATGTCCTGGTTGCTCTGAATCAATTTGAATACCTTCCACTGGAGAACCTGCGTATCATTCGTGGAACAAAGCTCTATGAGGACCGTTCTGCACTGGCCATCTTCCTCAACTACAAAAAGGATGGAAGCTTTGGACTCAGGCGGCTTGGGCTGAAGAACCTGACTGGTAAGGAGAACTAGCGATGTGGTACTTGATCTCATCTGGAAGAAGATGAACCCAGAAGGATCCCAGTAATTTAAGCTGCAGGAAAGACATCTCTGTAGAGTCATCTTTTCCTGCCATGGCCCCTGAGAGGCAGCGGTCTGGGCAGCAATGGGGACACCTTCATCCATTGCCCCTTGCCTGCCATCGATTCAAGGCATCAAGCCCCTCTGTATAAGAAATGTGGCTAACCTTTATGCCTTCTTCCTTACTGGTCCCCAGAAAACAGCAACTTCCATAGCTCTAAGCAGCAGGGACAGGAATGCTTCCATTTCAGTCCTGTGTGCACAATGTGTATATGTTGACACAGCGGTGGCCTGAAGCCTCTAGAGGTATGCCAGAACAAGTGTCTAATGCTCTGCTTCACTTGGAAATAAGTTGAAGGCGATGGGATTTGCAACTAGCTAATTGTGCACGGGCCCGAGGTATGAGAAGCCTGGTGGAGTTAGAATTAATTGACTGCAGTGTAGACATCCTCTTCACTGTAAACCAGGCTCCTTCTGATGTCACTACTATAACCCCTTGTCCCTACCAGTATTTATGTTTGTTTGACACTTAGGCTGCAGGGTACAGTGCTAAAATTCAAAGGACAAATGTTTCGCATGGGTAATATAGTTCCCTGATGGTGTTAATAAAATATTGAAGGGGGTAGTTTTTGCTTTGGGAGGTAATAAGTATCCACTGTCACTATTATGGAAACGTTGAAGCACTTTCTCAGTGCGGCAGAACTAGGAAGAGCTGGCCATTTGGATGCGAAGGACTCGGACTACCAGGGCTTTCCTCCCTGCATCGCCTGATAACATTCGCAGGGCAGTGCATGGTGGAGGGGAAGGATGTCCCCAGCAGTGGGTTGTCGAAAGAAGCCTCCTGCACAGTGGGCGCCATGGCAGCCCTGGCTTGGCTGTGCTGTGCAGATTGAGCTTGCTGAAAGCATGACGACTGAAGGCCAGATGACTTACATTGAAGAAGGGAGGACCCCTCTCCCAGGGGGTGGGGGGTGGGCAAAACAGCAGGACAAAAGTGAAAGGATATGGGGCCAACATGCTAAAACGACCAGCATATGTTACTAGTTCTCCTGCCAGTACCTAAGTTTTATGAGCCACCTTTTCAGTCTTCCAGAATCTATGGCTGCATCACCTAAAATCAATGAAAGCTAAAAAGAGGAAAATAATGATTTTATCCATTTGCCACCTTATGCAGATGCAGTGTATTGATTAGGACTCACACAATGAATCACCAAATATTTATTTAAACTGATGACATTCCTGCTTCATCACAGTCTCAGGTGGCCACGTGCACTGCAGCAGCTGGAGCGGCTGCTCTTCCCTAATGAGTCAGCCCACGGGTGGATGGAGAAATTATCTTGCATCTCCAGTGCTTTGTAAGTCCTGGTATGGGCAAAGCACCCCCAGGTGTTCCTCCCTTCTTGTTCCTTCAGTATAAATGTGAGAAATGGGGCTGGATCTGCCCTGAAGAGAGGACACTGAGCCCTCAAAGAGAGAGAGTGCCGTGCTTGTGTTGGCTGCTTCTTATTCTGATAACACCTAAGAGCAGGTCTTTGCACTGGTACTTCTCATCTAAGGTGAGGAAAGACAAGAAGGCAGACGCCTCACTGAAAAGCACCATATTCACTTGGGAGGCATCCCAAAGTTTTGGAGGAGAGATCAGCTCCTGCCAGTAATGCACAAGCAATAATGGACAGGGGAGTGTGGTTATTTCTTAAATATTATTGATTTCAGGATGTTACACATGTTCTTTGTGTTTCTGTAAAACAAAAGAAAACAAATAATTGCACAGGGGAGAGCATTTGTATATGGATGTATGTGTGTGTGCGCATGTATATACATGTTGTTACCAAACACTCTGGCAGGTTACTGCTTTCAAGCACAATTTCAAGAGGTCTCATTTGGGCAAGGGATCCATCATTCCTTGCCTACAGTTCTCCTACACCAGGAAAAGGCAAGAGGTTTTGAATTACATGCAGCTGCCAACACCCTTAGTCAGCTATCAAACATTATGGATGTTGGAGCCCAAAATCTCTGGAGTGTGTCAAGGATGGACTTCCATCACCACATGATCCTGTGTAACACTAAGCCATAGTCTGATGTTCTGCAAATAAGCCTTGGGCTTCCATGATTCCTTCTTCCCTGCTCCAGGGTGGTCATCTACTCCCATGGTGCTTCTTGTTTGGGCCCATCTAGGGCTGTGGCTGACTGTGGTATGTTTGAACAAGTTAATTTTACACCAGTGGTTTTTGATCCTGGCTTGTTTGGCTAAAACACAGTTTTGAAACAAAGTGAAGTTCTTTGTTTGGCCAAAACAACGAACTGCATTTAGTTACCAGCGGAAGCAGATGCTACCAGCTGCCTTGCACCCCTGCAATGGGATGAGAAAGGAGTGTGCATTTTGTTGTGGTTCAGTGCAGGGGTGAGGAGGTTCTTTGGGTCACTGGAGCAAATGATCCCTCCCAACCTGGCAGACTGGGGGGCGGCAGGGGTCTGCTAAGCTCTTGGCATCCCCTGTTTGGTCCAAAGCACTGCCTGGGGGAGGATGGGCAAAGCCACCGTGACTGGGGCAGGAGCTGGAGTGTTCCGGCTCTGCCTTGGCATGGCTGGTTCACCCAGGATGCCTCCTTTCCAGTGGAAGGCACAGAGTGTGCAAGGCTGCCCTGACCAAGATGGCGGCTGGATCAGCGCTCTGGCTGCTGCCTTGGCCAAGATCAAGTGCCGGTGCAGGTAGGAGGGTAGCGGAGTGGCTCCGTGGCAGCTTCACCGCCCCTGCACCATCCCACACTGACAGGGCTAGGGAGGGTGAAGCACGCCCATTGCACTGGCACGCCCCCTCCCTCCAAATGGGTGGGGTGACTAAAGGGTGACTCTCCCTATTATCTTGGATCATTCACTGGAGACAGTTGTGGGGTTGCCCTGCCAGGCTCTTCCCCAAGGGCTGTGATGGGTCTTGGGGCAGGGCATGGGGAGGGAGCCCACGTCTCCTCAGGGCCGCAGGGGAGCCTCTGGGAACTAGTGGTTCCTCATCCCTGGCTCATTGCTTCCTCTGAGCCAGACCTGTGCATCCCAGCACAAGGAGCTCACAGGGGCATAATTACCTGCAAGCACTGCTTGCCCTGGCAGTGAGCAGGGAAGGCAAGTCTCCTTTCCCCCTCTCCCTTCAGTGTGTGCAGTGCTGTGCCGTGCCTAATTGCCTATGTCTAGTCCAAAGGCCGCGCAAAGGCTTGTGCTTCGCTTATCAGTGTTACGGTCCCCGGTGCCCTCCTTCCTGCTGAGCCCCATTAAAATTAATTGCATGCAATGCTTGCTGGATTACAGCCGGAGGACCATGACAAATACCAGTTCTCCATGGTGACACTCTCTCAGGTCAGTGTGATAAGCCCTCCTGAGGTCGTGGCTTAGCTAGAGTCCAAGGTCCATTATTTTAGACTATCATTTTCTTTCGGCAAGTCCTGGCATATTCACAGCAGCAGTTGACCCAAGAAACATGTCCATACATCAAGGTCCAGGCAATATTCTCCAGCTCATATATTTAATGGCCAGGGGATTGGCTTGCACTACAGCTGTGCAAGTCAAGCCCTGCAATTGGCACAGCTTTGTCCAGGCAGAATGCTTTCAGTTCCACATCCTTGCAGTTTTGGAGGTTCCCTGCAAACAGGGACTATGAGAGAGGGCTGATCTGTTCAAGGACATCCCAGGCCAGATTTCTTACAGAACCACTGAATGCATAGTGAGGCCCTCCATGGCTAGCAGCTTGGTGGAGAACTTAACTTTTGCCTCTGTGAGCTGAAGCAGCTCCAGGAGCTGCCTATGTGCCCAGTTCGTGGAGCCAGCAACCATCTCTGACCCCATAAGCCATGGGAACCTTGTGATTCCATACCAGACAGAAAATGGTTCTCTGAAAATCAGACGCATTCTGATTTCTTCAGGTCTGAAATCTAGCTTTTAAGAGGAATTTAAATCAAATCATTTGTTCTATTTCTGCAGGAGTACCTTTTGGTTTTGGTTTGCAAATGTCTATTTTCTTCATGTTGGCAGATTTTAATCATTTTTTAAATTTTAACAATCAATGCTCACATGTTTTTGGTTTCACTGATATGACTTTATCCACTATCTTCATTAAGCATTAAGCTCAAATTAAATAGAGGGGTTTTTAAATTATTTATTTAATTCTTTATTTGCAGTATGAAAAGCTTTGGAGGGTATCTTTCAAGTCATAGTGAAGGGGTGTGTGTGTCATGGACAGATATCATTCCTATTCCATTTGTTCATTAAAATGAATGCTCCTAGGGTTGGAGTCAGGATCATGTCCATTGGGCCCACGTGCACACTCAGTCCTCTGCATATTCGGTGCTACTTGCACAGGAGTTTGAACATGCTCTGTATCCCTTCATTTGTAAGTTCCTGTCAGGCCCAGCTCCCTTATATCCTCAGCAACAAAGCATGTATTCAGGAAACAGCAAGCTCCACAAGGTACCAGTCTCAGAGGAATTAAGGTGGATAGTGGTGGCAAAAGATGGAATTCTCAGCCTTATTCCCAAAGTAAAAGTTAATGGATCACCCAGTGCAGAAGGGTCGCATCCTAGAGTTCAACCATGGTATCCTTTTGGGGTAACTCTCTGAGGTGAGAGTGGGGGGTGCTGGATGAGAGGGGATCTGCTCCTACCTGCAGGGTCATCTCCAGAAGGTGGTGCTTGGAAAATGTTTTTAAACCCTATTTAACTCCAGCATGCAGTTCCTCAGGAGTCTCTTCTGTCCCTCATGCGATTGAATATCTACATGAAATGGCTGAGGAGGGTCATCTGGCATTTTGGAGTGTATTACCATCAGTATGCTGATGACACATGACTATTTCTGCTTTCCATTTGCATCAGGAGAGTCTGTGAATGTCCTAAACTGGTACCTGGCCATGAAAATGGACTGGATGAGTGAGAGCTAACAAACTGAAGCTCAATC